CCCCACCTAACCTACCATGGCCACCATATTTTGAGTCAAGGACGCGACTCCACAAGATATCTTTTTGACAGGACAGGTTCCACTGCCACTTTACAAGCAGAGAGGCATTGAAACACTTCAAGTCCTTTATCCCCAACCCTCCTAGACTTTTTGGTGACGTGATTTTTTCCCAATTTACCCAGCAGATTTTCTTTGTCCCTTCGTCCATGCCCCAAAGAAATCGCCTTTGAATAGCTATCAAATTTTTATGTACTAATGTTGGCATCCTAAGGAATGACAAGTAATAGAGGGGGACAACTGATAATACTGAGTTAATCAAACAGATTCTCCTGGCCATAGATACGAACCTATGTTTCCAATTGACCAGCTTGTCTTGAATCTTCTGCAGGACTGGTTTCCATGTAATTGAACTCCTAGCTGAGGCCCCAATTGGAAGGCCCAAATAGGAGAATGGAAAGTGGAGTGATTTGCAATTTAACAAGTCTGCATACCTTTCTGTAAGATTGTTGTTCACACCTAAAATGTCCATGCTACTTTTGTGAAAGTTGACTTTGAGTCCTGATGTCAATTCAAAACTCCTCATGAGGCACTTGACTGTAATTACATTTTCCATAGTTGCCTCTCCAATAAAAATTGTGCCATCTGCATACTGTAGTAAGCTAACTGCCACTTTTTTCTCCCCAACTTGATACCCAGCAAATTTAGCTTTAGATGTTGCCATCCTCGTGAGCCCTGTAAGGCCTTCAGCCACGATAGTGAACAGGAACGGCGCTAGTGGGTCACCCTACCTAAGACCTTTCTGTGGAATAAACTCTTCTGTAGGACTTCCATTAACTAAAATAGACATGGTGCTTGTGGAGGCACTCCAATATCCAACTAATCCACTTATTGCAAAAACCAAGCCTCTTCATCATGTATGTCAAGTACTTCCAGCTCACAAAGTCATATGCTATGACAACCCCATGGAGAAGATTCCTATTTTCAATAAAGGCTGACTGAGCTAGATCAATTACTTTTGGGAGAACCTTTTTTAGACATTTTGCAAGCAATTTGGCTAGAATCTTATACATGCATCCAATGAGAGAGATAGGTCTGTAATCACTTAGTTGTTGGGGGTCCACTTTTTTTGGCACAAGTGCAATGAAGGACGAGTTTGACCTTCTTGGAAGTCTCCCAAACATATGAAATTCATTAATAAATCTGATGATATCCTCCTTCAAGACTCCCAACATTGTTTGATAAACTTAAAGTTGAATCTGTCTGGACCAGGACTTTTACTTCCATTACACTCCCACATAGCTTTCTTTATCTCTGACTCCTAAAAGACTCTTATTAGATCATCATTATCCGCCTCTGTTATTTGATTAAAAACAACCCCGTCCATTTTTGGTCTTCTCGAACCTCCTTCCGAGAATCGGTCTTTAAAGTAATTCCTCACTTCTTATTTAACTTGTTGTGGTTCCTCCACCCACACACCTGCAATTTTCAACCCCCTGATCATATTCTGTTTCCTCCTCCAATTCACTATTGAGTGGAAATACTTTGAGTTACAATCTCCTTCCACCAGCCACTTGACTTTTGATTGTTGTCTGAGGATGGATTCATTTCTCTTTGCTAGAGTCCAAAACATTTCTTGCAATAGTACTCTGTCGATTCTTTGTGCGTCTTGCAACTCTCTATCATCTACTTTCTTATCTATCTCATCTAAGGAAGCCTCCACCTGACTCAACTGCTTTTGTACGTTTTCAAAGTTATCCCTATGCCATTGTTTCAGCTTCCCTTTCAGACCTTTGAGTTTTCTTTTAAAACAAATGCCCCTGTCCCTTGTACATGTATCTCCAACCAAGCCTTCTGAACAAATTTCATGAAATGTTTATCATGGAACCAACAATCCAATGATTTGAACGGTTTAGGTCTCCACTCCATATTAGCAACCTTCAATAGGATAGGGCAATGATCCAACACATTCCTTGATAAGATGAATTGTGTACTTCCTGGCCATGCTGTTGCCCAACTATTAGAGATGAGGAACCTATCCAGTTTGCTTCGAGCCATTCCATTAGGCCTATACCAAGTAAATTTCCTTCCCACTACTTGTATGTCTTCAAGCTCCATATCTAAGATGAAAGAGTTGAACTCCTTTCTGTGCACAACCTCGTGATCTCCAGCTACAACACCTTGCCTTTCTTGGGTTATCCTTACGCTGTTAAAGTCACCCAAAACACACCATTTATCTATAGTGCTTTGAGCTTTTTCCTGCCTCAATTGCCTTCATAGCTCTCATTTTTGTGTTAATCCACAAGGAGCATACACATTCACTAGTACTATGCGCTGCCCATCTTGCTTCCAAGTTCCTTCCAAGCCTAAATAACCAGGACCCATAAAAGTATTAGTTACCTCCAGGCATTCGTTATTCCACAAGCACATTAACCTTCCTGCTAAGTTTATAGCAGGAACTGCAACTGATTCAACATTGGTATCTCCCCACAAAGTTTGACATAATTTTTTGCTGACTTCCGATAACTTTGTTTCTTGTAGACACAGTACCTGAACTTTCTCCCTACACACCAACTTTCTTATATACCGCTATTTGATCTTTGCTCCCAATCCTCTTATGTTATAGGACATTATTCTCATTTATCACACTGTACTCGACCCTACCCTAATGCCCCATTTGGTCTTTGCCTTTCTTTTTGGTCACATTCTTCCATCATCCTAACCTTTTCAATTGCCTCTGCTTTCACTCCTTCACATGATACCCCAGAATTTTCCCTAGTTCCCATAGTTTGTGGGCTTCAGTTGTATCTCTTTTTAGCTAGAAAATAGCGTTGCAATTGACAATATTTGAGTCAGAAAGTGTATTACTACGCTAGAAAGTAAATGGTTTTACCTTTTCTTTCTTTCGCATTGCCATTGTAGAGGTGCTACCCCATTCTTTCTGTGCAACCTTGTTTCCTCCACCTACATAGTGTATCATAGTACCCATAAGGTTTTCTCTTATGAATGGCTACCCCATATGGCTTAGCTGTGGAAAATTTGCACCACCTTGGCTAACCACGTTGAGTGAAGCAACATGCCCATTTGGTGGCCCATGGTTTGGTTCAAGGGCTGTGAGGCCCATCTTCGTTGAGGCTGAATTATTGCAGCGTCCTCCGTTGCCTGGCTGCGAGAGGTGTTCCTGATGGGGATCAATAAATTTTGGATTCGACTCGCTGGCCACCATTTGTTGGAGGCCCATTCCCACCACTTTCCCCAGTATTTTTTATGTTAATCCTCGTGTCAGAGCCATTAATGCATTCTACATTTACCAACTCCGCAGCCACTGCTCCATCCATTTCCTCCCTTATGCTTTGCAGTTTCGTGCTTGCCGATTTTTGGCTATCTTTTGTCCCATCCAATGGGTTTTTAATAATATCAATATTTATACGTCAGATGTGCACCTTTCAATTAAGTGATGACACTTACGGTCGGTTCCTCTCTCATTTTTAAAGGTGTTGTGGTAGTTTACTCTTATTATTAACTTAGGCCACAATTCTTTCTATTTATCGGGACTATTCTTATCTATACTCGCCCCTTCTTTTCTCTTATGCTTATTTATACTACTAATAATTTACGATACTCTTATCATATGATATTCTATCTCTAATAGAATCGATTTTAGGGTAACACCCTTCTCACTCCTTAATGGTAACCTACCACATCATTATATAATAATTATAACGTAACATTATCTATCAAAGAATATAAAGATACATGCATAAAATATTATATAACCACAACTCAATCATTCTCATCAATTGGCATAAATAATAGTTTTTCCTTTTGTTTATACATTTTAAAAGTCTGATATTATCTCTAACTAAAAGGCTAAATCTAGTTTATAAATATTTTTTTCTTTAATTCAACATAGTTACGGTCAAAACATTGACATGAAAAGAAAGGTTTGAGTCACTTTTGTCCTTTAACCTCAATTAGAAAATTTGTTTCCATATGTTTAAAAATTTTACATCGTTTAAAAATTAAGAATAGTTTATAAATATTTTCTCTCCTTATAATTTACTTAGAATTTTTTTAAATGACAAAACTATAATGATCTACCAAACATCAATATTTTGAACACGATTATTCTAACAATTTTAGCATTCGCCAAATAATGGGAAATAATTGTTAAACACACTCAACTGGGAAGATATGCTCTATTGAGTCTTCAAATCACCCAACAATAGTCTTTGTTATATATATATATATATCAAAAATCATTATTCATTGAAACAGGTATGTGCACTACTCTATTCAACTGTGAGCACCACACTAAATTTCTACAAAGCTTGCTTGCTGCAAAATCGCCAAGCCACGCGTGTTTGGGTAAAAATTTGAATTAATCGAATGTTATAAGTCAAAAAAATAATTCGACGAAGGTATCAAGGAGTCAAAAGGGAAATTGTAAGGGGATAACAGTAGTTGAGAGTAGTTAACTACGTCGCATAATGTGAAACCGTTATATATCACACGTGGAACTAGTATAAAATAACCATTCTTCAATATAACAACTAAGACCTGTAAATACCAATTTTGTTCCATCAATTTTTTTAATAATTTCTTTCTCAAATCTCTAAATCAATTATTCGAGAATAAACGAATAATATATATATATATATATTGTTTACGGTGGAATTAACCATCAAATCCTGGGTTCTTTTTATTTAGACTAGCATACGAACGTATTTCAATTTAGGTGTCTCACTGCGCGTTATCGTGTTACCGAGAATGGAGAGTAGGATGAAAAAGTCTTAGCAACTACTTGTTTCGAAATATTCTTCTATTACTACTAACAAGCGATGCTCATGCAAGCAAATAATAATATGAACAGAGTGAACAATATATATGTTAGCAATGCAAATCATAGTTCATTTCGTACAATGATCAAATTACGTTACACATGCGAACATATTGATCCCAGTACATGAATACACTACGTAATTAAACAAAGAACAAGAAGACTATTCTACTTCTACTCCTAAAAAAAAAGAAAAAAGTGGCCGAGAGTCAGTCATACCCAAAAACGATCTTGTGCACGAAAGCCATGTGTGTGTGTAGGCAGAGAGTGCTTCAGAGTCCAATTCTAGTATGAGTTTTTCGACCTCAGTAAAGGTCCGTACTCCTTGTATTTATAGAGCAATTAAGGGCGGTTGATTCTGTACATGTACGCTTTTGACTCAACCGCTATCCACTATCTTTGCTACGTGGTCTTGACTCAACTTCCTTTAACCGCTCTTCCCACGTTCCTTGTTTTCTCGATTGATTTTTTAGTAACCGTTTTGGCTTAACCTCCATGTTCTGACGGTCTCAACTTTTCAACTATTTTCGAGCAACACTTGTTTTTTCGAGTCCCATAATTTCATCATGTGTTGATTTTACTTCTCAGGCAGCGCTATCAATCTTTTCGAGTCACATGATTTTCGAGTATGCCTAACAAATGCCCCCCTAGGAATTTGGTTTCGATGAGCATCTTAGGAGAAAACTAAATTCCTATCAAGGTTGTTCTTCGATACTTCCTCGATTTGTTTCTTGATGTTCACTTTTCTTGACGTTAACTTAATCTTTCTTTCGATGAAAACCTATTCTTGTAAGGTACTGACCATTTGGATGTGACATTGATAGCTCTGACGGCGCATACTTCTATTTTTCCATAAATTTGCCTTCTGATATGAAACGTTTTGGCGGTTGTTTTGGAAATTCAATTTAATATTTCAAATAATCTTGCCTAACCTAACCCGTTTCAACCTAGGCCCATTTACCTCGTTTAAAACCCCTTTTTCACCCTAGGGTTAAATTGTTTTCACCATTCTCTTCCTTCGTGCCCAAGTTTTCTTGCTCACTGTTTCTTTTTTGCTCTGGTTCTTGATCTTCTTCTCAGACCGTTCTCTCTGTTCTTGCTTTTGTTTGTTATGGCTTCTTCTGCTGCGTCCACTTCTGCTGCCGTAGCTTCTTCAATGTCTCCTACTGCCACCACTTCTTCCCCTATTTTGATTGCTACTACTTCTGCTGCTATGCCCACCACTCCGGTAACCACTATGGCCACCGCAACTACTATCCAGGACACTCCTCTGCTACTGACTGGTGCTCAGGTTCAAAAGGTCAAAGAAGGTGATGACACTTTCATTCCAATTCCAGGCATGGAGGAGGCTAGTTTGAAAATATACCAATCTCAGGTACTTCTTCCTTTTTCTCTAGCAGATGGTTCTGTTCATGCTTTCCTTGGTCCTTTTGCTGGTCAAAATACCAAGAGATATGGTAATACCCTTTTGCCTGAGGACTCCACCACCCTACCTTTCATTTATTCCCCAGAAATAGACCTAAACCTTTTTGGGGATACTACCAAAATTTTTAGAGCGTTTCCCCCCGTTAAAGAAAGGCACCTCTCTTGGTTAGCTCGTGTAGAGGCTTCTATGTCCTCAGAATGGAAAGAAACAGGTATTTTTGAATTTATCCAACTAGCTAAGTTCGACCTCCACCTTTTCGACCCTCAAATGCTCCTTTCTGCTATCTTCTTCTGGAATAGAGAGACTCGGGCTTTCGAGTTTCCTTGTGGCTTCATTTGCCCGACGTTACTTGATGTTGCTGCTATAACAGGGTTAAAGCCTATTGGAGATAGGTTTTATCCTGACGCCTTTGAAGAGGAAATTTCGATCAAGGATACTTCAATTTCTTGGGATAAGAAGACCTATTTGGCCTTTATTAACGCGCATATGGGACAACCTGACACGCCTGTCTCACCTTCAGAGCATATTGCCTTTCTTATGTACTGGTTGTCAGCCTGTGTCTTTTGCACCCCTTCGCTTCAAGTCCCAAAATATTATTACAATTTAGCTCAAGCCCTTCATTTGCAAAGGAAAATCTGCTTAAGCAAATTACTTCTGGCCTCTCTTTATACTTGTCTTGATGAAGCTTCTGAAAGTCTTGCTCGAGAATCTGGGCCTCGAAATCTCTCTGGCCCGTTATGGCTACTTCAACTTTGGCTCAACGCGCTATTGGAGAAGAAACTTCATTTGCCCTCAAAACCCATTCCCATATGTGAACTCGAAGGAGCTCGTTTAACAACCCTTACCCCTCGAAAGCGTCTGGTAGACAATTTCGAGAAATATATTAGAGCCATCCTTAGCTTTACTGACTTCACTGAAGATTTAGCCCCTTTCATTCGACCGAACTTGATAGGTCCTACATGGTTGCGCCAAAATAACCAAGTTGGTAGCATCAGTCCAGCTTCAACTGACCTGTGGTTTGGATTCTTGTCTTGGGATGTGATCATGTCGGGTATGAGGCAAAAAGATGTCAGACTTTATCCTTATCAGCCCCAACTTTTTGCTCGACAGTTTGGGCTTTGCCAAATGAAACCTCTTCCCCTTCGACGTAAAGAAGGCATTGATGCGGATATTTGTGTCGAAAAAGGGAATTATGAAGAAGTCCTTAACTTCATCCTTCGCCCTGATAAAGAACTTAGGCTTACACCGACCACCTTTTCTCCTTCCTTCTTAGTCTCAAAATGCTACCTTCGATGGTGGTGTTACTATATTGTAGATAAACTCACCGATTTTGATGGCTTTCTGAAAAAGCTGATTAGTTCTCCTCTTTCTTGTTCGCAGGGGCCTAAACAACCAGGTACTTTCAAGAATCAACTTATCATTTATCAATTCGAACAATTTTTTAAGGTTTGTTATCGACCTGACAATGCGCACCGAACCATTTTTGACGCTTCGGTCTCATTATCGAAAATGGTACAACGGAACATTCGCTCAAAAAAGGTAATAAATCCTCAAGGTAAAACTGATTTCGAAAAATTTTGTCCAAAGCATATACCTCCTCTTCCAAATGCCCTTTTTGGTCTAGTTAAACATGTATCTCATCCTCCTTGGGTGAAAACACTCGACCCGTTTTACCTTGAGCGCAAAGAAGTTCCTGTAAAGAATAAAGTTACCTACGCGAGATGTTCCGTGTACGATTTTCCTCGAAACAAATGGTGGCCATTATGTTGGGTCAATAACATTAACCCTCCTCCTGGTAAATATTTTTCACCTCCTTCTTCTTCGCGTATACCTTAAACTTGTCTCACTTCTTTGCTCGAACCTTGTAGCTGCCATCCCTCAGCGTGTTCCTCGACATGTTGATCCAACTCCTGATTGGGAGAGTGACGATGACGAGGATAAAGAGACATCTAAAAAGGGTCGAAAGAGAAAGACCGCTGCTGACAAGGTTTCTTTACGTTCTAAGGTATAGCTTGTTTGGATTGCAGTTTTTCTCGAAACTAATATTTTATCTTACCTTCTCGAAATTCTACTCTACAGAGTATTGGAAACTCGAAGAAACAAAGAATAGGTTCAGACAGTACCAAAACTGTTAAGTATCTTAACTCAAATATTAAGATTATTTTCTTGCTCGTTTTTCATACCTAATCAATTATTTTCCAATTCAGGTCTCGACCACAAAAAAGCAAGACAAGGGGAAAGGTAAGATGGTCTTGCCTCTTCCCAAAAAACCTCAACAATCCTCTGGCGAGAAGTTGCTTAAAGACGCCATGAAGTCCGTTCCTAAGGTATCTCAATTTCGACGTCTTTCCTCCTTTATATTTCTCTTATGCCTTTAACCGTTCTAAAATCCTATTAATAGGATATTGCGATTATCCCACTGGATTCTTCTCAAGGGGTGTCTCAAGAGGTGCAGAAAAGCGTACCCTTTGCCACTGAGGTAACCCAACATGTTCATCTTGTTATACCTTGTGACTCAAATTTCCTCTTGATGTTTAGCCTGACTTCTTCATTTCCTCAGTTGTCTACTCCTCAAGTGGATGTTGCGGCGCTTGCCTCTGCCATGGCTTCGATAGAAGTTCCCCCTCCTGTCGAAGAGGGTAAGATTCCCCAACCCGAACCTTTGACTAATATGGAGACGCGGCAAGACTCCGCTCAAGGTGAACCTTCTTTCGAACTACAACCTCCCTTGGATCCGAACCAGGGTATATTTCTTTCGACTTTAATCTTCGATATGATACCTTGTTAATGGAAGTTTCTTATGTATTTACTTTTGTGCAGGTTCAACTGAGTCCCCTAGACCTTTTACCACTTCTCCTTCAACCCAGGGCGGTGCTACTTCTTCTGTCCAAGGCCTCTCCTTGATTCCCTCTCCAGATTTGGATTTGATGAGTTTCTTTAATGACGAGGACGAAGATATCAATACTATCTTCGAGGTGTTGGACAACTGGACGAGTGGTCCCTCTGGGTCAGAGAAAGACAAATTGAAGGTTGTTGAGCCAGCTTCTGACACACCTTCTTACCAACCCCTACTCGACTCTTTTCGCTCGAAGGCATACGTTAAAGATCTCGATCAAGCCTTCCTCATTCCTGAATTCAAAACGGAAGTGCAACAAATGATTGATGAGTTGCTCAGTTATTCGGACCTTCCTTCTGATATTTCTTTAGAGCTTCAAGCATTTATCAAGCCCTTTAGCCGCGCCTGGGAACTTCGAACTCAGTGGTCTACTGCATATCAAGAAGTGACTCAAATTGAGGTCGAAACTGAAGGAGACCGTGCTAAGCTCGAGAAACTCCGAGACGAGTTGGTTTCTATCAAGAAATCAACGGAAGAAATGATTTCTGCTTTACAAGCATTGCAGAAGGAGGAGGCTGATATCGAACGTACTATCGAAGCCTTAAACCACGAGCTTGACAAAACTCGCTCGAAGAAGGATGGAGTGAAAATTAAGAGTCAAGAGATCAAGCAACATCAAACAGGGCTTAAGGAAGAGGGCAAAGCCATTTCTTCTCGATTAGCAAAGACTTTGGAGCAGAAGAGGCATTTAGAAGCTCAATGTGCGTCTCGCAAAAAGAATCTGGACGAGGCTTACAAAGCTTTCGAGGATTTCAAGAAGCAATTTTTGCAATAATTCATTCTTCTTATCTATTTTTCCAACCTTTTAGTTTATATTTGCCTTGTATTGAACAATTATTCTTCTGCTCTTTTATGGAAATGTTTTAAATATTTCCCATTTATGACTTTGCTTGCACTTGAATTATTTATCTCCTTAATTACATATGCGTTCTTTGAATATACTTGCTCGACTAGAAATGGGCCTTCCCAATTATATGACCACTTCCCCAAACATCGAGATTTTTGATCCATGGGAAGTATAACTTTTAATACCAATTCTCCGACTCGAAAACGTTGCATATTCACTCTCTTATTATAAGTTTTCTCGACTCTTTCTTTCTGTCGAACAATATTCTGTAACGCAATTAATCTTTCTTCCTCTAAAGAGATCAACTCATCATACATCAAGTTCCAATAATCCTCCACGGGTAATTCATTTTGTTTTTGTATATGAATTGATTGTAAGTTAATATCGATAGGAAGAATAGCCTCATGGCCATATACTAATTTATATGGGGTTGTTTTCGTGGCATCTCGAGGTGAGTTCCTATATGCCCATAGTATTTGGACGAGAGTTTCATGCCAATTTCGAGGTTTATTTGATATGTGTTTTTTGATTAAACCAATTACCACTTTATTAGCAGCCTCAACTTGACCATTAGCTTGGGCATAATATGGTGTTGAAGTTACCAACTTAATTCCTCTTGATTCTGCATATCGAGCAATGTTTCGACCCGTGAAAACCGTACCCTGATCAGTAGTGATTGTTTGAGGAATTCCAAACCTTGTAATAATATGATCTTCGATAAAATCAATTATATTTTTTTGCTCGACTTCTTTTAAAGGAATAGCTTCAACCCATTTTGTAAAATAGTCTATGGCAACTAGTATATACCTGTGGTTCTTCGAGGAAGGTGGGTGTATTTGTCCGATTAAATCCATTGCCCAACCCCGAAATGGCCAAGGTTTGATGATCGAATGCAACTCACTTGCCGGTACCTTTTGTATTGGTCCATGCTTTTGACACTCCACACAACTTTTTGCGAATTCGATACAATCTTTAATCATAGTAGGCCAATATAAGCCTTTCCTTGACAAAACCCATTTCATCTTCTTTCCAGCTTGATGTGCTCCACAAATGCCTTCATGAATTTCTGCCATTGCTATATAACCTTCATGGTCTCCCAAACATTTGAACAAAACTCCGTCGAAGCCTCTTTTGTACAATTCATCATTTAGTAAGAGATAATTAAGAGCTTGGAGTTTAATCTTCCTTTCGACCTTTATGTTAGGATTTCGCAAGTATTCGATCAATTCGCTCCTCCAATCTTGTTGACTTGCTGAACCTATACTTAGAATTTCTCGATAGTCTAACACTTCACTCTCTGTATGAATCAGATATTCGAGATACTCTTTACTGATTTTATATCCAGAGGCTATTTGGGCCAATTTATTTGCAATATGATTTGAGTCCCGAGGAATGTGTTGTAACTCTACTTCATCAAACGTGTCAAGTAATTGTGTAGCTCGAGTTTTGAATTCAATTAATTTTTCATTTAAACACTTATACTCTCGAGTTAATTGTTTGATGACCAGTTGTGAATCTCCTCGAATTACCACATTTTTAGCGCCTAATTCTTCAAGAATCTCAAGTCCAGTAATCAATGCTTGGTATTCAGTTTCATTATTCGAGCATCCTGTATTTGTTTTGACTGATAACTTCGTCGGGACCCCTTTGGGAGAGATGATTAAAAGACCTATTCCGGCGCCTAACTCGTGTTTCGAGCCATCGAAATATAATTGCCAAGGCTTGGTGGTTATGTAATTAACTTCTTCAGTTCCATTCGAATGTTCTGCAAGAAAATCTGCAATTATTTGTCCTTTAGTTGCTTTTAGCGGCTCGAAAGTTAATGGGTATTCGGTTAAGGCAAGTGCCCATTTGCCGACTCGAGAATGTAACACAGGTTTACACAACATATATTTTATCACATTACTTCGACAAAGTATTACAACATTACGAGTCCTAATATAGTACTTCAACTTAGTACACGCAACATAAAGACTTAAACATAATTTCTCTAAAGGGGTATATCTAAGTTCTGCTCCTACTAACATTCGACTTAAATAGTAAATGACTCTTTCGATGCCATTTTCATCATCTTGCGCCAGCATGCCCGCAATAGTCGAATCATTAGCTGAAATGTACAACTTCAGTTGCTTCCCTTCAGAGATTGGTGCAAGCACTGGAGGATGAGCCAAGTAAGCTTTAATTTCTTCGAATGCTCTCTGGTGCTCTTCATCCCATCGAAATTCTTGCTCCTTTTTTAAACGCAACAAAGGAGAGAATACTTTAGTTTTACCAGACAAATTCGAAATAAATCTCCTCAAAAAATTTACTTTACCTAAGAGAGATTGAAGCTCTTTCTTGTTCGATGGAGGCTTGGTCTCCATGATAGCCTTGGTTTTGTTCTTGTCTACCTCGATCCCCCTCTGGTGTATAATAAATCCCAGAAATTCGCCTGCTATGACACCAAAAGCACATTTCAGTGGATTCATTTTCAAACCATATTTCCTCATTCTCTCGAAGGCTAGTTTCAAATGATATAAATGGTCTTTCTTTTGTTTTGAGCCAACAATTATGTCATCAATATAAACTTGCACGAACTTACCAATCAAATCATGAAAGATTAAATTCATCGCTCTTTGATAAGTCGCACCAGCGTTTTTAAGACCAAATGGCATCATCACCCATTCGTAGACGCCTAAGGCACCTGGGCATCGAAAGGCAGTTTTCGACACGTCATTCGCTGCAATATAAATTTGATTATATCCAGAATAACCATCTAACAAACTCATAATCTCGTTACCTGCAGCGACATCTATCATATTTTCAGCAATGGGCATAGGGTACTCATCCTTGGGAGTTGCCATGTTGAGATCTCGAAAGTCAATGCAAACTCTGAGTTTTCCATTTTTCTTTATAACTGGCACTATATTCGAGATCCAGTCAGGATATCTCGAAGTTCTGATGAACTTTGCTTTCAGCAATCTCTCAATTTCCCCTTTGATTTTCTCGATCACTTCAGGAGCAAATCTTCGAGGACTTTGTTTCACGGGCTTCCTTCCTGGGATCATTGGTAGCCTATGTTCTACCAATTCTCGATCCAGACCTGGCATTTCATCATAATCCCATGCGAAGCAATCTTTGTATTCATGCAAGACTTGAATTATCTCCCCTTTCAGCTCCCCTTGCAAGAACTTGCTAATGTAAGTGATCCGCTTATTTTCGATAGTTCCCAGATTAACCTCTTCGAGCGGATCTTGGGATTCTAACTTATGCTCTTCATTAGCGGCACTCTCGAAACCCAAAGGTGAATCATCAAAAATGCAGTCCAGTTTGAGTTCTAGCTCTGCTTTTTCTTTTTGCTTTTCATTTTTATCTGAGACTCCTTCGTCCCTTTGATTTTCTGTTTTTTGCTTTTCTTCCCTCTTTTTCCCGATTTCGAACTCCTTTTCTTTTTGTTGTTTTTCTTTTTCCTTTATTGATTCGAAATCCATCTCTTCTTTTTTTTTTTTTTTTTCTTCAGCCAACATAGCCGTGCTAACCTCATTGTCAAATTGATCTTTATCGGCCAAATTGGCCGTTTGATCGGCCACGTAGGCCGATATTCGAGCTAAAAAGCTCGAATAAGGATCTTCGTCCTTCATGCATCCAATGGAGCCGAATTCTTTTCGGCTCGAATAACGAATCCTCTCTTTACATCCCAACAAAAGGTTTTCTTGACACCTTCCTCTTCATCCATCACCCCAGAGTTGTAAGCGTCAAAAGGTTTGGTCTTGGCAAATGCTGTCAGTTGTTGATCAGCAAAATACATGCCAACTTCATAAGTCTTCTGATCAGCTTCGAGAACCTCTAAACCTTCATCATCGTTCCAGAAGAAAACCTTCTGGTGTACGGTCGAAGGAACAGCACCTACACCATGAATCCACTCCCGACCTAGCAACACGTTGAAGTTTGCTTTGGAAGGTGTTACTATAAACATGGTAGTCCTCTTCACACTTCCGATCTGTACATCGAGCAGAATCATACCTTCAGGATGTGAAGACTTGCCTGCATAGTCGGAGATCATGATGTTATGGGGTTTCAGATCATCCAAGGATTTCCCAAACCTTTTCAGCATTGTCTTAGGCAAAATATTCACAGCTGCGCCTCCATCGACCAAGACCTTGTTTACCTCTTGCCCCTCAATCATCAGTGTTAACAATAGGGGTTTGAGATGTCCTTTCATTTCCTCTGTGGGAGAGTCGAAGACAGCAGAGTTGAACTTAGGGATAACCCTCGAGATTTGATTGACCCATATGATTTTGGACTCATAATTGGGGTCCTCGAAAACGTCTTCCCTGATGATATCCTCTTGTTCATTCACGGATTCCATAGCACCAGCATACTCCGAAGGTAAAATGGAAACTACCCCGCAAATATCTTCCAAAGAATCCTCGAAACCGCTCTCGAAGCAGTTTGTTATCATGTCTTCATCGTCTTCGATGAACTTGCCAGAAGATTCCCCTTTTTGAGGAACTGGGATCGAAAAACGATTTCCTCCCATACCTTCAAAGGTTGCTTTACGCATCCTTTGCTGCCTCCTCCATTGGGTTTTGGTTAAGTTGTTAAATGGCTGTCGAAATCCACGTCCATATCCCCCAGCTGGAATTCCAACATTCCCTGTAGTCAAATTCGAAAATTTTCCTGCATTTCTTTGTCCCGGGTTTCCCATGCTAGTCATTACTTGTTTACCTCGACCCATCATAGACCTAGGTGGTGCGTTCCATGTCCCGACAGGCACATTCGCGTTCGGCACAAAAGTATTGCCGAACCTAGACGAGTTATACATCTCCATCTTCCCAACCGGGGCATTATATTGAGGCATATGAACTTGCCTCATAGTCAGACCAGCATTCAACCTAGCATTGGGCTTCATTTTTTCACGCAGCTTCTCAACTTTGTAATTCTTCATTATTTCAGACTCCTCGAAAGCCTTAGCCGCTGCTCTGTCGAAGACAGCACTGCATCGAGGACACAACATGACCTCTTTATCAGCTTCTTTTTTCTTCGATAAAAACTCCACCAGACTATCTCCTTCCTTTGGGTATATGGGTTCTTGCTCTTTAGCAAAATCCTCCATTAACTCTTCGAGCTTCTCATCAGAAATGGGCTCAATGCTATCATCGTCCTCAGCAGCGACTTCCACCATGTTGATGGACATCGAAACTGGTTCAACATAGCCAGTATGGGCAGCAAATGGGTCAACATCCACTTTCATTTCCTTCTCTTCAAAAGCCAGGCGACCATCAGTAATCGCCTTCTCGATGAAATCCCTGAAACGCACACAACTGTTAGTCCA